CTCTCTCTCTCTCTCTATATATATATATATATATATATATATATATATATATATACATACACACATACACAAAAAAAAAAAATAAATCTCTCTCTCTCTCTCTCTCTCTCTCTCTCTCTCTCTCTCTCTCTCACACACACATATATATATATATATATATATATATATATATATATATATATATATATATATATATATATATAAACAAAAGCCACAGATTGTTTCGATTAGATTATTCCAGATAAAATGTCATAGCAACAAATGTTTTTTATGTTATTTTAACTTATTTTATGAATATTTTAGCTAATATTTTACAATATACAAAGTTTAACTTTAATATAAGTTGTGATATCTTGACAGTTTTATTTCAAGTTAACAAAAACTATTTGACAATCTGGAAACCTGTAACCATTGGCTTCCATTGTAGGAAAGAGAGATACTATGGAAGTCAATGTTTACAGATTTCCAACATTTTTCAAAATATCTTCTGTCGTGTTCAACAAGTGAATGCTTAGTAAGATGAGATGACTAAAACATTTTTGTGTGGATTTATACTAGTTTATTTGTTTATATACACACATTTTTGGGGTTTCATTATATATACATTGACGTTGTATTATTTGAGAGATATGTTGTATAACACTCATCATCTTCTTTATTTTATTTTTATGATCAATTATTTATCTCGCTTTCTCAATGCTGAATTAATAATAATGGTTGAGTTGATCTTGTGTTTATTGTATTACTTTAGCATTGTTGAGATGTTCTAATGAGTTATAAAACTCCAGACGCACCTCATCTCTGTTATCCTGATGAAGGCAAGTGTTTGCCGAAATACGTAGGCGCAGTTTTGAGGACTTGCCATGTCAATAAAGACTTTTTAATATTTTTTTTCCACATTTTTCGACTTACTTTTGCCGACTAGAACATTTTATTTTTATGTGATTTAACACTGATGCAACCACTGACTTTCATTGTAGGAAAGAGATACTATGGAAGTCAATGCTGCGGGAATATGTTACACCATGTAGAAATATATAAATGAAAATACTAATAATTCACAGAAAGCCGTATTTAGCAATGCTTTATTGAAGTAAATGTAGGGAAATGGGGGAACATGTAGCATTAAAGTTTACCGGTACAGATGAATGCTTGTTAAGTTTATTAATAAAGATAAATGCTTGCAGATAATTGAACAGATAAACACTTTCAGTGCATTGAGTTGTTCTGCTGCAGACATATTTCAGAGTCTGAGGTGGAACCACACGCCTTTAAAGCCTTGAATAGGAAGTCCATTTTGCGCAGCAGCATTTCTGAAGTCACGCTCAGAATCTCAGTCAGTCTTTGCAGAAGTCAACAAACACACAGGATACACACTCGCATGCAACCTCGCATGTTTTAATGAACTGCCAGATGTAACGGGCCAAACAAGAGGGTTTGGGTTTGTTAACGTGGTTTTTCAACGCATCATGCAGAAATACTGGTATAGTGTGAGTTATTCACCATCATGATGCATTAAAATTTCTTTGATATTTTCTCCTCAATTTCTGTTTAACGGAGAGATTTCAACACATTTCTAAACATAATATTAGACTAGATATTCTTCAAGACACTTCTATACAGCTTAAAGTGACATGTAAAGGCTTCACTAGGGTAATTAGGGTAAAGTTAGGGTAATTAGGCAAGTCATTGCATAACAGTGGTTTGTTCTGGAGACAATCCAACACTAATATTGCTGAAGGGGAGAATAATATTGAGCTTAAAATGGGTTTAAAATTATTAAAAAATGCTTGTATTCAAGCCCAAATAAAACTAATAAGACTTTCTCCAGAAGAACAAATATTAAAGGAAATACTGTGAACAATTCCTATATCTGTTCAGCATCATTTGGGAAATATTTGAGAAACAAATTCACACACTGCAATCAAATCCTGGTTGCCTTACATTTTTAAGCTGAATTAAATTAATCTTCTGAGTCTTTTGAAATTTAGAGCATGATTAACTTTAATAAGTATTAATAAGTAAGTAATTGTAAACATGGGAGTGACACAAACCAATGAGGTTTGGATCCAAATGCAGGTTTAATCAGTGGTCGGGCAAACAATGGTCAATACAGGAGCAAACAGGTATATGAAGACAGTCCAGAATCATAGTCTAAGTAACAGGCAAGAGGTCAGGCGGCAGACGGCAGACGGAGACAAAAGGTAAACAAGGCTGAGGTTAAAACACGGAGAAACAAGACAAGGAAAACGAGTTGTAGTGTTACTATACAGTTAACAAGACTCGGCAATGGGGGTGAGTGAGTGTGCTGCTTAAATAGTGTGTGCAATCAGTCTCTAACAATCCTCAGGTGGTGCGAGTAATCAGTCTAGATGAGGAAGCATGTGTGAGTGTGACCGGAGTGCATGTATGAATATGTAGTCCAGAAATGACGGATTTGTAGTCTATAAGTTATTGTTAGTGAAATCCAGCGATCTTATGGAGTACGATCGCTGGTTATCGTGACAGTAATAATAAGTATTAATGTCCTAAAAACGCTGTCAGGACTAATTGATCATATTATTTTTTACAGTGCAGGACGGCGAATAATTTTAACTTCAAATGTATTTAAATCGATTCAATATTGCTTTCCCGCAGGATTGATCAAACAATATCAGCTGTGTATCTATAATATCTGACTCTATATCTCTTTTTTTATTTATTTAAGAGTTTTTATTGCACAATAAATAATTTAGGAAATATTTAAAAAAAAGAAAAAATGTCAAATGGGGGCTAATAATTCTGATTGAAACTGTGAATATATAAACACGGTCGCTGTTCATCTAAAACTCCACATCTATAATCCTCTTAGTCTATGCTGACATTATCTTCAGCAGCTCAAACACTCTAATGGCTAATGGACAGACGGCTGCTTCTCACTTAGGGCTGCTGGAGATGCTAATGAGATGGAGAGATGGGAACTAGTGGGCGGGGCTTTCCCCCTCTGATGACACATATAAAGGGAGAATGTCAATCACAGTGTTTCTGTGGACTCTTGAATTAATGATTCTGGTTATGTTCACACACTGCAATTGTTTTGCAGCCTTTTGTGATCCACGATATGAAGTCTCTGGTGGAAGGCGAGCAGATGATCAACTGCAGATACATGCCGCTCCACGAGCACCGGCGCTCAGATCTGGGCATCATGCATGAGGTGGAGCTGCGCTTCTTCCACAGCTACCAGTCCAGATCTGCCGAGGCCATCAGCGAAGTCACCGAATTCGCCAAGAGCATCCCGGGGTTCATCAACCTGGACCTGAACGACCAGGTGAGCAGGGGGCGGGGCGATGGGTGGAACAGGGGTGGGGCTTCTAGCGCCTCAGTCCCTAATAGTTCCTCAAAAGCACAGGATATTTTGGGTTTGTTAAGATTTTCTTGATCTTTCCGAATGAAATTCCTACTTTGGTATATCCAATCAGCTCGCGATAGAAAAAAACAAGCCACGCCCACTGTTTTCTCATTTAATATTCTGTTACTTCAGGTTGCAGCTTTCAGTTCATGTGGACTGTAAATGAACAGGGTTTTAAGGGTAACATGGCTGTGGAAGGGAGTGTAGTGACCCACTGTTTTGTTTATAATGTGTGGCTCCCCCTGCAGGTGACGCTGCTGAAGTACGGGGTCATCGAAGTGATGATCATCATGATTTCTCCGCTCATGAATAAAGACGGGACCCTGATCTCCTACGGACAGATCTTCATGACCCGCGAGTTCCTCAAGAGTCTGCGCAAACCCTTCTGCGAGATGATGGAGCCCAAGTTCGAGTTCTCCATCAAGTTCAACATGCTGGAGCTGGACGACTGCGACATGGCGCTGTTCCTGGCCGTCATCATCCTCAGCGGAGGTCAGTTCAACCTATCTAATATAATATATTATATATCGTATATAATATATAATATATCGTTCTATCTAATATATGTTTGATTTATATCTATAGTTGAAATCAAAATTATTCAACCTCCTGTAACTTTCTTTTTCAAATATTTTCCAAATGACGTTTAACCCTCTGGGGTCAGCAACTGCGTATACACAGTTTGAGGCGTCTACTGATAACGCCGAAATGAACTTTCAGTTTAGATCATACAGATAAGATCAATACATCAATCTAATCTGTTAGCTGTCTACTTTAAATTGTGCACACTCACAATAACAACAAAAGTGTCAGCTTTTGCAAAATAATGAAAATAAACAGTGTAGTCTCTCCCCGAACTGTTCAGTAAAATGCACTGAACTCCGCATAAACAAAACACACAGACACGAGACATATATCTATGAATGCTTGAACTGTCTACTTTTAAACGCAGCGAGTGCATGATGAGAACAAATAGTGTTTGATAAAGTAATCAATATGAACCCAACTCTATGTCTAGTTTCTCAATCTGAGCTCATTATTTTTAATGCGGCCACGCTCATGAGGCTGTGTTATTACAATCGTCCATGTGGGATGCGTGACATGTAAACTGTAGTCAGAAAAAACAGCAGAATCTCCACGAATACATGAGAAATATACATGAGAGCCAGATCTGCTTAAAGCTTGGAAGTGGCTCTTACCAACTCATTATGAAAACAAATGTTGTCAAGACGACTCTACCCATGTCCGCCATTATTACAAACAATGACGAACCTGCCCACACGCCCACAAACAAACACAGCTAAACACAAATAATAAGGATAAACGCCCATGATTCCTGAACTCCAGGAATAAGTTGAAATTATGACCCATTTAACCTTACAGTTCCAACGTGATCTGATGCTGCTTTCGTAACGTAGAACATGTTATACGTTATTTATTTATTATTATTTTTATTTTACCACAGTCAAAGTTTAGAAAGAGTTAACTAAGGCTCGATCATTTGGGCCGAATATATATAAAAGGTCTTAAAATATTATTTAGATGTTTAAGTAATTGTTTTTGATGTTTAAAATGTTATTCATTCTTGTGTTTTGAAGCTTTTGTCATTACGCTATTCAAACTGCACACCTTAGTTCCAAAAACAGCGAGCAAACACTTGTCCAGCAGATCTAACAACGATTACTATTCAGCATAATTCATCTAGTGTGACTTTGGTTATACAATCTGATTACTGTTGGTAAAAATGACTTCCTGTGCACTGAAAAAATTGTTGCATGCAAAACTGTTACAAACAATTTATTCGTGTTGAATTTAAACAAACAAATTAAGTTTAATAACGTTCAACTTAATTTGTTTGTTTAAATTCAGCCTAAATAAATTGTTTACAACCTCTTAACTTAAAAAAATGGAGTAAATCCAAAAATGTAAGAATTTTTTTCAGTGTACCTTTCTCTGTAACACCGGGGTTGAGGTAATCTTGCACTAAAAGAACTTGCACACACTTGGACTGTATGAAAAAGGGGATGATTGTCACAGTTCATCATACTGACAAATTTGTCCAGCATTCGATCATGTGCAATCTCTTCTATAGTGGGTACGGGCCCTTTTTTATAAGCCTTTTTAATTAGTTTTTCTCCTTCTCCAACTGTTGATCACACTGTTAAAAATAGTAAATAAATATGTTTGACAAGTTTTAAAATAAATAGATGAGGGTTTTTTGCTGAAAACAATAAATAAATACACTTTAAATACAAGTTCTAAAATAAATAGGTTAAAATAATAATAATAATAATAATAATAATAATAATAATAATAATAATAATAATAATGATAATAATAATAATAATAATAATGATAATAATAATAATAATAATAATAATAATAATAATGATAATAATAATAATAATAATTACTTGTTTTTTTAAACCCAAACACGACCACATTTCTTGTGAGTAATCAATTAAATGCTAATGTTTGCATGAATAGAAATAAAAGTGAATAAACTGGATGTTCAGAGTCGTAATGGCAATGTTAGTGAAACATTATCAGAGCAATTACTTCAACAGGAGTCTGATTTAGCCCTGATTATTTAGTGTAAGCAGAAAAAAGAGGAGTGTATGATAAGATTAACCTCAGTTGCAGTTTTACTGGTGTGCGACCGCAAACTGAGTGAATCATGATATGCTGCACGTGACATCTGTGAAACCAGACGTATATTTGGCTCATCCTCAACGCTGAGCTGACGTCATCACTCACATTATTTGATTCACACTTTTAGCAGAAACCACACGTTCTTCACAATTATACAGCTTCTGCAGTGGCATCAGCGGTTCCTTAAACTCTGACACAGATCGCATCTTTGATCTTTATGGTTAAACGAATGGTTGTTCTTTTAGCCCATACGGATATCTGCTTTATGGCCATAATTGAGCTCAAACAGCTGAAGTTTTTCATTATTTTTAAAAAGCATGTTTCTTTGTCATGATGACAGCACATAACATTAGACTATAGATATTCTTCAAGACACTAGTGTTCAGCTTAAAGTGACATGTAAAGGCTTCACTAGGGTAATTAGGGTAAAGTTAGGGTAATTAGGCAAGTCATTGTATAACAGTGGTTTGTTCTGGAGACAATCCAACACTAATATTGCTGAAGGGGTGAATAATATTGAGCTTAAAATAGCTTTAAAACAATCAAGAACTGCTTTTATTCTAGCTGAAATGAAACAAATCAGACTTTCTCCAGAAGAATAAATATAAGGAGGAAATACTGTGGACAACTCCTGAATCTGTTCAACATCATTTAGGAAATATTTGAAAAACAAATTCAGACGACGGCAAATAAAAAGTTAAATTCTTAACATTTATTCATATTTTAAATAACTGCTTTCTTATTGTATGTAGTTTCAAGTGAAATGATTACTCCAGTCATTATTACTATTAGTATTAATGATAATAAAATAATATTTATAATTATTATTATTATAATACATATTATTATACATATTATTATTATTATTATTATTATTATTATACATATTATACATATTATTATTATTATTATTATTATTATTATTATTATCATATTTATAATGATAATAATAAGTAGAAAAAGAAGAAAGTTAATAATAATAATAATAATAATAACAATAATAAAAATTATTATTATTATATTAATAATAATAATAATAATAATAATGATAATAGTAACAATAATAATATTTATAATGATAATAGTAATCATAATTATTATATTTATAATCATAATAATATTTATGATGATAATACTAACAATATTAATATTTATAATGATTATAGTAACAATAATAATATTTAAAATTATAGTAATAATAATTATAATATTTATATTAGGCGGTTCATTCCAATGTGGCAACCCTGGATTAATAAAGGAACAAAGCCGAAAAGAATGAATGAATGAATATGTATAATAATAATAATAATAATAATAATTAATATTAGAGTGATTTATGATGGATCACATGACTTTGTAGACTGAAGTAATGAAGCTGAAAATTCTTCATTAAAATCACCTAAATAAATTATAAAATTAAATTATAATATTATTTTGAACAATTATTTTATAGTGCAATCATATTTCATAATTTTACATCTTGTACTGTATTTTTTGATTAAATAAATGTAGCCTTGGTGAGCAGGAGAAGCTGATTTTACAACATTTAAAAATCCTGCTGACCCCTTTTTTGCTTGGTTTTGTTTTTGTGTGTGTTTGTGTGTGTGTGTGTGTGTGTGTGTGTGTGTGTGTGTGT